AGTGCTCTGTAAAATGTAAAGTGCTTTACAAACACAAGTTACTATGATGTACTATGTGGTATTATCATAGGTAATACTACTGACTTCACAATATTTGCTCAAAATTTATCTTCTTAGGTTAACAATGTTAAAATAGTTTAAAGGACAAGAAAACATTATCTTTATATATGTTGTTGTTAAGTGCAGTAGAGTCGGTTCAACTCATGGTGATCCTGTATATGGTTTCTGAGGAGCATTTGGACTGCTGACCTTACAGTTCGCAGTCCAGTGCTGATCCTACAGTGCTGCACCAGGAGTCCATATAATAAGCAAGAAAATCTCCTATGAGATTAATAGTTTTCAAGTTTATCTGGGATGAAATAGAAAGAAAAAAATTTTTAAATGGCAAGAGATAGATAGTATTGCTAACTTAGATGGTCCCAGTGAGTTGGGGTAAGGGACATGAAAACCACATAAAGATCCTGTAGTAGCTAGTACTTGAAATCACTGGTTACTCTGAAATGGCCCCGTCATTAAACCAGCAACATGACATGGGAAGATCCACATTACAGGAGAGAGCAGATAATCAATATAGTAAATAGAGTTAGCTTTTAGATGGATTGTACCTTTTAGACTGGATGGTTGATCTTAATTGTTGTGGAAGTATTGGATGCAATGAGAAGTGAAATGAAAATTATCACCAGTTCGGAAATTTAAGGCCAAGACTCAGTTCTGACATTGGGTAAACTGCTATATTTCTCTGAACCTCTCTATTTTTTGATATGTAAAATGAAGAGTTTGGATTTGGTGACCTCTCATGGTTGTGGCATATTGATGCTGATGCTCAAAGAGGGTGGAGGTAAGAAAGTAAAAGCCAGAGCAATATTTTGTAATTAGTAAAGTACACTGTACTAAAACATCTGAAGAATGCCTAAAGAAATATAAAGTAAAATAACATTTTACAGGAAGAAGAAACCATAACCTTAAGGACTATCATTCATTCAACCAACCAACCAACCAACCAACCAACCAACCAACCAACCAACCAGTTGCCTTGTGACCCATATGTGTGAGAGTAGAACTGAGCTTCACAGAGTTTTTCAATGTTGATTTTTCTGAAGCAGGTCACCAGACCTTTGTTCTGAAGTGTCTGTAGGTCAACTCAGCCCTCCAACCATTTGGTAAGCAGATAAGAGTTAACTCTTTGCAAGGACTCCATTATTCAGTTGGTCTTACTTAAATACTGATTTCTTACTATGGAATGTAAGTGAAACCAAGGCATGGACTCTACAATATTTTTCCTCAGATGCACAATAGACATTAGGGAATTTACAAATTTCTTGAGGAGACAACACATTTCTACAAAAACTGGGCAAATTACACTAATTGGAGAAGATACATTATCTGAATTCTAGCATAATTTAAAGTAATTTTATTCCTTTTATATAGTCTATATTTGTAAACTTTTACATTTAAAATCAAGTTCAACATATTTGTATAGGTTAATGTAATAGCACCCAACATTTGTGTTCCAGGGATAAGATAAATATTGTGAAAATATTTGTCTGAGGTATTTCCTTAGAAAGAGAAACTTGGTGGTCTGCTCTTGGGCCTGTCTTTGCCATAAAGAGTAAACTGGAAAAGCAGAGTAAACTAGAGATGCTAAGAGGCTCTACATAATAAGTGTGCATGGGGAACATGGGAGAGGAGAGCTAGCTGGGACAGATGACATTACAGGAAATATTAACAGGAGAGATGGGAAATGAGGAACTTAAGCAATTTAGCTATGTATTTTGAATGCCTTTACCTTTGGTATTTACTGTAGAAATTCAATTTGATTGTCTTTGAATGATTTTTGAATGTATGAACCATTCTTTCACTGAACATAAATTTGTGTTGGCATAAGACTAGTAAATGTGCTTTCTATGAGTTACATTTAAGGAGCATAGTGGATTATGAGCTGAATTTCTAACTGTAAAGTAAGAAGTTCAAATCAACTAGTTGTTCCATGGGAGAAAGATGAGGCTTTTTCTGTTCCTGTAAAGATTTACAGCCTCGAAAACTCTATACAGGGTCACTATGAATGACCTCCATGGACCATAACCACTGCCATCGGTTACATTTATATAAAAAGTTTGCAAAGTCTTTGCACATCCTGTACATTTTTGTTCCAAATCTAGGTAATATTTCTACAATAAGACAGGACAAACATGATTTTTATTTTTTCCAAAATTGCAAACTAAGACACCCTGGACGTCAGAATGGTTCTCCTAAAATAGTATAGTGGGGGCTCAAACCCATATCAGTTCATATTCTTTATGCGGCTTTACTGAGACCAACGAATATAACCAAATGCTCTCAGATTGCCTTTCTTTCCTCCCTCAAGGAGATAGAATGAAAAGACCCCTATAGCAGATCTTGTGATGATGGATATCATTTTTCTATGTTATACAGTATGTTAGTAACATGTGGCTGTTACAACCAGGAAAGTAATTCTAAATAATATTTAATTGTAATTGGTTTAAATAGTCACAGATGACTAGTGCCTATTACCCAAGACAGCACAACTCTAGAAGTTCCATGTGAGAGATTATCAGACCCTAGGAATCTCAAATTAAAATAACATAGGATACACTGTACTTTATTGTACATCTTTAGTTTTCCAGTTGGCTGATGAAGAGTTCTTGACTCTTGATACCTTTCCCTAATCACTGACTATTACTCTTACTAATGATTAAAATGAAATTATTAACTTCTGTTATCATCATTCATCTGAATTTGCTAGAATTTTGTTTCTTATATTTTTAACTTTCATTGTTACTCTCTCTCTACTCTGAAGGTGTGTGTGTGCAGTCATAGTATACTTGGCAGTACATTATGCAGTATCTAATACATAGTACAGGTAAAGTCTAAAGCATCCAGGCCCATTCTGAATTTCCAGAAACTGTATGTTTTCTCTTCCTTGGCAGTAAACGGGTACCAAGAACCAGCCAGAAGTATAAAATACAGCAAAAGTTTCACAAAAAAAAGGACTCAGCCAATATTTTACCTTACTGCTAAAGGATTCATATGCAACAAATACTTCTTACCACTTACACATCCTACTGTGTTAGCAAGGTTCCCCAAACTTTAGCAGCCCTTTGATTTCCAAGCAGTTATCTCTATGACTTTGTGAGCTAGCTCACTAAACAATTCAGAGGATTTTATACATTCCCTTAGAATTGTCAAGTCTTTTGAGTCTAAAATGGAAGGTAAACCATGAAGGGTGTAAGGATGACTACAAAGAATTATACAAGGAGTCAGATACATGTGCAGGATTTATATAATTGTCAGTTGACTGCTATCTGAGGAAGTACCACCACCAAAGCTAATGAAAGAAGAACCACCTTATCTGTTCCTTAAGTATGTGGAGAACACCAGTTGCACCAGGTAAATTGGCAAGTCATTTGATTATTGCTATCTGACCAAACCTACTCCCCAAGGAATAAGTTGTCATATTTCATATAAACCGAACAAAGTTACAGCAAAGAGATTGTCATCACCTTACTTTTCCATTTGTCTCTTTTCAATTATTAACTAACTAGGTCAGGAAGAAGTTACCATCAGAAACTTAACAATATAAAGCAAAATATATGTGACAAAAAATAGCACTCATTTACTTCTGACAACTGTGAAGTTAAACTATGATATTGAATTAGTGAACTGATGCCATCCAATGTAGACATTGTATATAGATGTTAGTAAAGTGCTGCTTGTGAGATATTTCTGCTCCTTGATACCTGAATCTGCAAATGTTGAACACTGTACCTTACAAGAACCAACAGCTCTTGGCACAGAATAAAAGTTACATAGGTCAGGATTTTGATGACATTGTACATACAGTATCTGAATTTAAGCTTTAGGAGCTCAGTCAGTATTAACCACGTTCCTCCTTTATTGATGCCTTTTCTCTTTTTTCCCATTCATGGGAATTTTCAAAATTTGGGTTGTCATGACGGGGCAGATAACAGATCTATCTAAGGAGCTTTTTGCATCTGTTTTCCTAGCCCGGGAGGGAAGGTGTTCATACGAATGAAAGAGTGGCTCAAATAGGCAGGACAATCATTGGTACTGCAACTAATTGAACCATTTTGCTAAATGGCATAAAAAGTATTCTCATATTAAGGACTATTGTACAACTCTATGGAAATATGCAGTAATGCAGCTTGCATCTGTTTTGTCTTGGTGACAAAATGCACTCTTTGAGTCACAAGAGCCTGCCTTGTGTTAGTTATAAACAAAATATATTTATATATATTTATGTAACTACTATGTGCTTTAAAGAAAATTACTGCATGATTCAGCAAGGTTTGGAAACACTGTCATTCTTTGTTATCACCAGGGATGTGTACTGGACTTCAATGGCTTCTCTAGGAATCGAAAATGAAGTGGGCCTTCAGTACTGAAAAAGCAAACACTTAAAAACCCATATGGTTAATACCCTTAACAATTTTGCTTCAAAAATGATTAAAGAATGCTTCATATTATTTCCTTTTGCTTACTTCAGCCAAGAGCAACTGTGGACTTCACTTGACTTCACAGTTGGGGAAATGAAGGCAAAGCTTCTTAAAACAAGTCAGATGTTCTATTCTGATGCAGTAGAATTGAAAGCCTCATTTACCAATCCCTCTTCCGTGACTTAGTTAAAAGTTTGGAAATTCTGTCACAGCCTTGTAAAGAGGGAGTGCATTACCAAAGAAGAGGGAGGCACAGTTTGAAACTCTTGTACAGACAAAAGATGCATCTTATAAATAATGAACTTCTTGGAACAGGTGGATCTAGACCAGATAAACAAAATCCTTTTGCCACAGGTCTGCTTTGGAAACACAGAAAGTCTCCTGTTTTGTGTTTTTGTTTTTGCTCCTGCAGGAACTAATTTTCTCAGCAATCTTGAAACATTCATCATTTGAGTGAAAGGGTTAAAGCTTTGGAACACAGTTGTCTTTGAGACATTAGAGAAGAACATTTGAACCAAAGTTGTAGATCCCTTGAGAACTAAAGCTGTTAACAACATTATTTTATCCATCCCTTGGCTACCCTGCATCTAAACCAATAGTGCTGTAATCTTGTCGTACTTCAGTAAAGTCCACAGGAGATGTTCTGAGTGAACTACACAGAATTCCTTAGTGGAATTACATCTGTTCAGTGATAATATGGTATCTTGTGTAAGTTGGATTTTTTTTTTTTTCTTTTACCCTTCCTGGGCTGGGCTTGTCCAGAAATCTTGTCACCTTCAGGCTACAGCAGCTTAGGGCTCCTTTGTATGTATGTTTGTTTATTTGTCTTAAAAGTATAGGCAAAATTTTAGTCTTAACACCTGTAGGCCAGTACTGGTGCAGCTCTGTCCTAGAACTTTTAGCACTGCTCGGATACAATAAAACCTTCTTTTTCTCCCACTGGTTCTACTTCAGCATATGCAGGGTGTCCAGAACCTCTTCGAAACTTCATTGCAGGCCATCTGCTTGGACGTCTCTGCAACAGAAATGTCAAAATGAGCATCAGGGTAGGGATCGTATCATTATCATCATAAAAATACTATCAGTTACTATAGATGAACTTTTGGATGAAATTTGTTGTTGTTAAGTGCTGTCGAGTCGATCCTGACCCATAGCGATCCTGTATAGGGTTTCCGAGGAACGGCTGGTGAGCGTGAACCACCGACCTTGCAGTTCAAACGGCTTTGCAGTCTGGAGCATTAACCCACAGCGCCACACCAGGATAAAATTTAGCACATATTAAATGATCTGTTACTGTTCCTACAAGGAGCACTGGTAGCATAGTGAATTGTGAGCTGGGCTGTTAACCACAAGGTCAGCAATTGAAATCTACCAGTTACTCTGTGTGAGAAACATGAAGCTTTCTGCTTCTGTAAAGATGTACAGCTTCCAGATTCCTATATAGGGTCACTGAGTCGGAACCCACTCAACAGTATACTACCACCACTGTTGCTACACAGTTGGGGAAAAAATCCTCCCCACCCCCCTCATACAGCCTCATAGTTCTGTGCTTATATCTGCACTATGGCACCAACATCTGCCAGATTATATAGTCTTGTAGCCACCATTGCCCCCACAGCACTGTGAGCTTCTCAGAGGCAAGCTTTACATCTTTGTTGTTGTTGTTAAGAAGTGCTATGTAGTTGGTTTAGAATCATAGCGACCCTACATAGGGTTTCCCAGGATGGCTGGTGGGTTTGAACTGCAATCTAATGTCACACCAGGACTCTGAGGCATCTTTATATCTAAAATATTCTAATGTGCCCAAAATGTGGTAAAAAATGAACTGTAATAATAAAACAAGTTTCTTACTATATAACCTCTGAAACTCCCTATTCTGTAGAAGTTGATAATACTCATTTCCTTTATTAATTCATTCAAAACCTTGTTTTGTTGTTAAGTTCCAACTCATAGTGAACCTTGTATAGGGTTTCTGAAGAGAGCGGTTTGGCAAGCTTGAACCTCTGACCTTGTGGTTTAAGCCGACTTGGCAGTCCAGAGCATTAACCCACAGAGCTACACCAGGACTCCATTCAAAACACAAGGTCATATGATTCTACATGGTTCTTACAAGTGTGCTTCAAATAATTTGTTAGCAAATAAATTAAAATACCACTTGGTATGATGTTTCGTGCTTGAAAACTAGCAGAAGTCATATCCTTAAAACTGTATTTCTCAACCTAGGGTGTAGACAATCGTGAGACTGTGTAGTAAATATTGTACATGTGGACACGAGTCCCAAAATACAGATTATTTGTATTGACAAAAGGAGAGCATATCTCCACAGCACTGCTTTCACCAAACGAACCTTCTGTGATTTACAAACAGAAGTGCAAAAATGAATTATTAAGTTACACAGCCAAAGACACTAAAATGCATTTCACAGCCACGGTGACACTAGAGACTATTACTCCATTTATCAAAGTGCCTGGAATTTTGGGGTAAATAAGACAATAAATATTGGAGGAAGTTTATTTCTAAGAATTTTAATGTGAAAAAAGGTTAAACATCAGTGTAGACATTTAACTATTTAGCACCTGACATTTGGTGACATTTTGGATGTGCCAGTTATATGCCTCTGTCAGTGATTAATGACTATGCAAAAGGCGCTGTAGGATAAGCACTGGTCTGCAAGTTCGTTTGAACTGCAAGGTCAAGTTCAAACTCATCACCTGCTCCTAGGAAACCTTTTACATGATTGCTATGAGTTAGAACTGACTTGATGGCACTTAATAACATCAGGAATGAGTATTGCATTTATATTCTGGGGGGGAGGGGCGGATCATAATTATATTCTGCCTTATGATTATATTGTGGGCTGTCTGGACTCCTGGTGTGGCGCTATAGGATCAGCACTGGATTGAGAACCAGTTCAAGTCATCAGTTCAAATCCACCAGCTGCTCTCCAGTAATTCTATACAGTGTCGCTGTAAGTTGGAGCTGACTTGACAGCACTTAACAACAATATAACATTTAAGAAGCTTTTGCAGCATAGTGGATCATGAGATGGGTGACTTAACTTCAAGGTCAATAGTTCAAATGGTGGTGGTGGGTATGTGCTGTGGAGTCGGTTCTGATGCATAGCGACCCTGTACAGGGTTTCTGAGGCTATAAATCTTTATAGGAGCAGAAAGCCTCATCTTTCTCCAGTGGAACAGCTAGTAGTTTTGAACTGGTGACACTGAGGTTACCAGCCCAATTCGTAAGCACTACACTACCAGAGCTCCTTAGTTCAAATATAACATTATGGAATCCTGGTGTGAGACTGTATGGTTAACACTGGACTGCTAACCACAACATTAGTAGTTTGAACCTACTAGTCACTCCTCAGAAATCCTATACAGGGCCAATAGGAGTGGAAGCAACTTGACAACACCTACCAAAACAGTGTAACATTATGTAATCAGAATTGCTGTTGTTAACTGTTGATTCGGTTCCAACTCATAGGATCCTGCATAACGTTTCAGAGGAGCAGTTGGTGAACCTGAATCGCCAGCATTATGGTTCAAACCTACCTTGCAGTCCAGCACATTAATCCATAGCACCACACCTGGACAGAATGCTATACTAAGTCCCATGTTCCAAAAGAAGAAGCTAAAATGGAACCCATTGCTGCCAATTTTTACTCAGAGTGGGTTGATTGATAGGGCAGAATAAAATTGTCCTATCAGGTTTCCATGAGTCCTGGTGTAAAGCTTTAGGACAAGCACAGGACTGCTAATTAACTGTAAGGTCTGCAGTTGAAACCCAGTTCAGCTGATCCTTAGAAATCCTATACAGGGTCATGATGAGTAAGAATCAACTTGATGGCACTTAACAAAAAACAATAGGGTTTCCAAGGTTGTTTATCTTTCCAGAAGCAGACTGGCACACCTCTCGCCTGCAAAGTAGCTGGTGAGTTAGAACCACTGACCTATCAGTTACCAATCCAGTGCTTAACTACGACATCGCCAGGGTTCCTTAAGTTAAACCTAAGAAAGCTAGCTAACAAGACAGTGTGTCAGTGTTGGGACTGAAAGTCATCATCAATGAAAATGCAAGCAGGCTTGAAGAGTTCATGAAAAACTTCCATTATCTTTTCATTCCATTCTCCAACCACTGTTGGATGCTCCTTTGTATGCTTACTAACTGTCTCTAGGCAGGTGCTCAGTACCACTCATCGGTCACCCCTGTATGTGGGTGAGCTCACTGTGACTATTTATAGCCCCACCCTGTGCTGTGAGTGACTTCACAACAGGGCTTCTCTGAAGCCATGGCTGCGCCTAGTCCTTTCTCTGAGTCAAGAGACATGACTAAGTCTTTGCCCTGCAGCTGCACCTTTCAAAGGCCCACGTGGCCTTGCGTTCTTATGACAGCTCTGTGAACTAGCTCCCATTTAAAAACCCGAATACAGGTGGCTCTTCAGTATAGCTGATATTGATGTTGATGAGGATGCTTGTGAAAGTGGTATTGTAACTATATTTCAAGATTTGTACTACGTGATTTACGTGTAGGATCTTGTTTAATATGTACAACTCAATCATTTACATTTACAAGCTTGTACAGTGAGCAACAGTAGTGAGGTTGGGCCAGAATTGGCAGTGTTTTCATTCTGCTGTGCAAAAGGTCACTATAAGTCGATACCAACTCAATGGCACCTAACAACAAGAAAGTGAGCAAGCAGTGGGGCCAAGATCTGAAATAAGATCTGTCTGCCTTCAAAGTTAATTACCCCTCTTTTCCTAATACTGTTTCAAACTTGTCATTTTAAAGACTACAAATATAGAAGAAATCAGTTCTTAAAATTTAGTGATTTTTAAAATAATTTTGACTTGTTTAACATACTTTAGAACTTTTTGTGAACATGGATTTATTTTTTATATCAACCTTAAAAATGGAAAATTACTAACATCTTCAGTAATCTGCCCAAAGCCAGATTTACTAAATTAATAATCTTCTGTTTTAGCTGACACAATTTAAAGATTGTTGATAATTTGATCAAATACTTTGAAAGGTCATCACAATGACCCATCAAAATTAAGACAAAAATACTGGACAGGAAAGCTTCCATTGTTAGCATAATACAGCCTTATTTTCTGAATTGATCACATATTCATAAACATAATTTCTCTTATTTTTATTATTCATTGTAGAAAAAAAATATAGACCTACACCAACAAGACAAAAATCATAAGAAATCTTAGCACATGACTATGATGATTTGGTTCAAATTATCAGTGTAGCTTTCATATTTATATACACAAGAACTCATTGCCAATACAGTTTACAAAATTCCTTATTTTAGCCCACTTAACTACATACTATGAAAAAAGTTGCTATATGTGATATATTTTATATATATATATATATATGTGCAAATTTTTTTGCTGCTAATCTGATGGGCCTCATTCTGATTAATTTCTTTTATAAACTCTCAGAATTAGAATTATTGGGCCAATGAGACTACTGGTTATTTACCAACTCCCTGAAATATTCAGCATAGATGGGGCTACGCGTTGTGCTGAAGGGTGTGACCAAAGAAAATATCGAATGTGGATTCTAAGTTAATATGAAAGAGAAAAACTGCTTCAGGGAAGAAATTTTTCAAAGTTGGTTGAAAAGATGAAAGAAACATAGGCAATTTCTTAGCTGTGTGAGTAGGTTCTGGTCCAACAGATCAAAATGTTGCCCAGCCCTCCACGATCTTCACAATCCTACACATTGCTGCTTGGATAGTGTATGCGTATAGTGTATGCTTGAATACATTGTTGCGAGCACTGTGTAATTTGCCATCCGATGTAGAAGACTTCTCTTCCAGTACTGTATCAGACAATATTCTGTTGTGTTGAATTGGGTTTTCATTGGCTAATTTTTCCCTCCCCCATTGGCTAATTTTTGGAAGCAAGTTAATAGGCCTTTCCCCCGCACCCCACCCCCCAGTCTGTCTTTGTTGAATCCTGTTGATCATGGGCATTTGAAATACTGGTGACATGGTTT